GTGGTGCCAGACAGAGGCTCTTCCCTGGGCACACTCTGGTTACACAGTCCCCAGATGAAGAGAGACTAGGCATGTCATTAAATATAGGCAGTCTGTGATCTTAAACTTAATCTTTGCCCATATCTATCTGATTTGCACAAAATTAAACTCAATTTGGCAAATGTGAATCCTATGCCCAGCCTTTACACACTGCCACACTTCAACTCCTGTCTTGTTTCTCCTCCGTCTTTCCAAAGAAAATCCTTTGTGTCCGCACAAAGCATCCCATGCTCCCGCGGAAGCTGACCTCCCTGTCACCAGGTGCCTCTGCTTGGCCTCCCCCGCCACAGCTCTTCTGAAGCACCGCTGCAGGGCAGTCAGGAGGCCAGTTCTCGCTTCTTCTCCTCCTATATGTGTTACCTCCTGGGTTTTCCAGACTTCAGGCATGAGAGGCCCAGGGGCCCTGGACTCCCTGGCTCCTTGCTCATGTGCCAGTATTCACCCAGCTGCTCCAGGCCCGGGGAACATGATGAAATGGTGACCCTCCATTCCCAGAGTCCCTTTTCACAGGGACTGTCCTCAGGTCCAGGACTCGGCCCTGTGACTGGGACAGACAAAACAAAGGCAGACTTTCCTACTATCCCCCAGTGCTGGGGCCTCCAGATGCTAGGTCTGCCAGGACCCAGTGGTGAATTTTGTCTGTCCATTTTTGGCTGCCCGGACCTCCTGGCTGGCTTCCATGCCCACATGTTTAATGGGGACCAGCCAAAGAGAGAGGTCAGTGGCCAGGATGGCAGTACGGGGCCCGTTCCCTCCCTCAGATGCAAGGAACCACTCGAAAGCTTGTCCTACCAGCAGAGGGGTACCAGTGGGGAGGGAAGCTCACTTGTCCCAGCTGATGTGGGCCCTCTGGATCCCCCTCTGACTACACCCTCATACACACACCTCTACCTCCAGCAGTAACCCCACAACACTGCAGAAACCTGTCATTAATGCATAAGGTATATTCACTTGCAATCTCTGTTTCCACCTCACATTGGTTTGCCCTTCAGCTGGGAGGACCTGGGGTCATGGGTGACTTTAGTAGTTGAGCATAAGGGGATAACAAGTACCCAGATTCACACAGGACTTCTGGTTAAAGTTAAGGCACTTAATGTTCCCAAGCTTGCATAATGTAATGCAAATTCAAGCAGGTGGTAAGTATATTTCCATAATTTTGTAGAAGACAAATGCCAAAGCTAAAACAAGGTGAATATAGTTAGTATAAAGGATAACCTCATTAATGAATTGGAGGAAAATGCTAATCCCATAAAGAATAGTGGAACAGGCACTAATGGATAAAATATAGGAGTAACATTTTAATAATGCATGTGACCATGTTTTTATTAACAAAGAAAGTCTCATTTCAAAACACACATATCCTTGAGAGGAGTCTGAAATTAATCCTCAACAGGCTGAAATCCATACCATTATATGTTCTAATTATAATTACAATCTGCTCCTAATGTGAAAATTCTAAATTATTAGGCACTTTACTAAGAGTCAGAAAAGGGACTTCCTGATGCTTAATGAGAACTGCTCCCCAGCTTCAAGACTGCAAAAAGCAAGAAATGATTCTGCACTGAGCTGGAAAAGGGTGGATGCCACTTTTTTTTAGTAAAAAGTGCTTAGTTTCCTTTTTTTTCTCCTTAGGAACTGGTATACCCTTAGGGGCTCAGACACCATCAGGCTTCAGAGCTGCTATTTCTAGGGCAAGATAAAAATATATATCACAGAAAAATAACAATTTATCATTGTAATGGTTCCATCTCACTAGAGAAACCACTAGAGACTGCTTAACATTTTTATTTCAAACATGCTTTTCCCCAGTCTTCAGGTGACAAAAAGATACTGATGCCAGAAGGCTTTTTCTATTTGCTCCTAATAAAAATGGCTCAATTCTGAGTTCGTTTTCATCTGGGGTGACGTTAAGGTCTTCTGTGTGCTTTTCCTGCAGTCTCCAAAGGCAATAGGTAGGCCTTGTCACCAAGGAGAGGTGGGCTCTTCTGTGCCTGCTCCCATACCCGGAGACCTCTGCCAGAGAGTGGCAGGGTCTCTGAGTGGATGATGCAGGGACTGGATCTTTCCTGGTTGGAGCATGCTCAGTGCTTCCTTACCCTCAGAACCCACTGTGTATCTGCCCAACCTCCTCCTTAGAGAGGGAATATGCCCGGGGTTTCTAATGCTGTCATTGGACTTACTACTTTTCTTCCTTTCCTTTATCTATCTAAATTCTGTTCATCTGACCTTGAACCTAGGGCTAGTTTCCAATAACTTTGTTAGTATGCTTATTCACCAATTAGAGGCTCAGAATCAACCTGTATTTCTTTAGTGATGGGGTGACATCAAGTCCTTCATATTTCCTCCTGGGTTTAAGGCCTCACACATCAAGACTTCATCTATTAAATCTTTCTCTTTTTCATTCTCTTAAAGAATTAGGGCAACATGCTATACCTTGGTTATGAGCACTAAGGTTTCATAGAGTAGTGATTACCAGTAATACTTTTTACAAAAGTCAACACTGACTCCGAGTCAGATGGTAAGGCGAGGATATTGGAGGATCATCTCATCTAATCTTTCCAGTAGCTCCAAGAGATAAATACCATTCTGTAAAAGAGATGCAACTGGGGCTCGGAGAAGTTGCGTAACTCACTCCTGGTCACACAGATGGCAGAGGTAGTGCCAGGACCTGAACCCAGAGCCTGTATTCTCAATCCTCACACTAAGCTCAATTATGCTCTCAACAAGCAGACTGAGCATTGGAGGGTAAACTACCATATGTCTCAGGTGGAGGCAAGCATGCAGTGAGTCCGGGACCCCACCCCTTCTCAAACATAATCACATCTCTGAATACTTGGAAGCTTTTTCTCTGGAGTCCATAGGGTTGGTCTTCATGTTCCAGGATGGGAAGTATCTGTGGTCTACACACTGGGGGCCACAGGGAGGACCCCAGCACCTGGTCCTCTGGTCCTGAGAGGGAAGCCAGCAGCAGTCCACACACATGGAGGAAAGGCCAAGGCATACCTGCCTCCAACAGGGATATGCATCTCAGGTGCTACTGCAAATCCTAGGTGTTTTAACCTGATCACCAAACAGGAACTACTCTCTAAAGGAGAAGAGTGATCCTATAAATTTCTTAGGCATCAGCCTGGTGCTGAGGGCAGCAAGATGGTCCAGGGACATGGGCTCCAGGACATTCAGAGTAGTGGACATTCAGAGCTCCAGCCAGGCCTGAGGCCATGAGCTGTGCAGATGATGTGACTTGCTGCAACCTCTGGGTTATAATGTAATTCTACATGGAGAGTTGCCCACAGAGGAGACAGAGTTTATGCAGATGACTTGGCACTTGGCCTTTGACTTGCACGAACCAAATGACATTCTGGTTTATGTAGCAGTTATTGCTATGTTCTGTTAAGATGACTCAGTTTCCCTCAGCCTGGCATACTGTTGTGTTTAGGTCAGATGTCTGGATCTGCAAAGAAAGAAACCTCACCCTATATCTTAATAACTTGTAGGAGAGTGAATATTCTGCCTTGTCCCTGGTCCTTGTGGCCCTTCTCCTTGCTCTTCTCCTCCTGACAAGGAGCAGAGGTAGAATTCAGGCCTAGTTAGGAAGTGGAATGTGGCCACATACTCTAGGGACCAGCTGCAGTCACTGGGTGTGTGTACAAAGGCAGCACCAGGGCATGTCCCAGGGGTCTCCTGCTCCTGCCCCCATGAGGAACCTGGGCTCCCAACATGTTCTTGTCCTAGCCCTTAGGCCCTGTGTCACGAGACTCATCCTAGGGCCCCAGAGCTGGTCCATAGAGGAAGGGAAGAGGACAGGCTGCCCCAGCCCCAAGCTCCTCCAATCCAGCTCTCCCGAGAGCCCGTGGGGCCAGTGCTGGGCCTTCCTGCAGCTAGTGTAAGAGGCTTGGAGCATCCTGGTTGGGGAGGGAGGGCAGACAACAGATGGGGAGGCATTCCTGGGTGCCTGACCACAATACCTGTGCTGACTCCTATGGGGCCTCTTGAGGATCTCTGCCCAGGAGATGATGTCCAAGATGCACTTGGAGCCCAGCCCTTCAGGTGTGGTGAGGACCAAACCCAGCCCTGCTTTCTTCGGTCGGCAGTGGCCCATTGTGATGGAAAACCCCACACAGAAACAAGCTCAGTGAGCCCTGGCCTTTCTCTTTAAATAACCTCCTGTCCTAAGGTCCGAATGGCAAGTAGAACAGTGATTCCCGAGATTAAATAACAATTTCAATGACAGTTTGTTATGGATCTTACTTAGCGTTTAATGTTTCATTTTATTTTGGTCTTCTGAGGTCAAAATGAATATTTAAGTTTCTCAATATCAATGTTACTGATGTATCAGGCTGGATAATTCTTAGTTGTGGGTCACTTGCCTGTGCCCTGTGGGATATTTGGTAGAGTTCTTGGCTTCTCCCCACCAATTACACTGCCTGCCTCAGACACCTGAAAATGTCCCCAAACATTCCCAAATGCCCTCTGGAGAGCTAAAGTGCTGAGAACCATTGATTTGAAAGGCTGACCCAATTTCTTGCTAACTTGAGGACTAAGTTGAGGTAATAGATCTAGCACTTAGAATTCTTCATGGGGTAGCCCTGCCAAAGCACCCCATACCTTACCTGTGTATATACTCTCCCATTTACTTCCTTAGGAATGACAGTCATTGTTGGGCAGAGGGCTACTTTAGAGGGGCCAGTGTCCTGTCAACTGGTTCCTGTCTGGTGCCATTTGCAATTGTCAGGCTGTATTAAGTGAGTAGTTCCTGATGGGTGTAGTGTTGAGCTCTGTGGGAGTCAGGAAGCTGGGATCTAGTTTACCACAAACTTCAAGTCTCTTAAGTATTTGAAGCCCTAAGCACAACATGAGACTCAGCCTGGTGTGAGGATTTCCTTTCTCTTCAGCCACACTCGCAGATAACCTGCAAAGCCCTGAGCCACCCAAAGACAAATATTCCACAAGAGCCAACTGACCTCTGGGAGTGTGGGCCAGGGACAGGAAGTGATGTGGTGCAGACATGACTTCCAGGCATTGAAGAAATCCTCTTTCTTAGTCACCACCTGTCAAATTGGTGGAAGAAAAATAACTGCTGGTGATATTCTGAGAGAATCAAACTCAGTAGTCAGACCACACACACTAAAATTTCAATGCATTAAGCATGGGCATGTGTAAAGCCTTTTGTAAGGTGGACTCTGACACACAAAAATGGCTTGTTTGAATAAATGTCATAAACCATATACGGTGAGTCCAACTTCCATGTTTATGTCAATTTCTCACACATCAAACATAGCGACTAGCCAAGTCAGTCCTTGAGAGGTAGCAATGGATGTTCAAGAAACAATGTGAATACACACAGATACATGTACAGATACAGTGACTCTGCTTTAATAGGATCACTCACTGCCTGAAGAATTCTAACATGAAAACTTTTTAAAGCTAATCTCCAAAGAAACAGTCTACTTCCACTTCTCTCCTTCCTTCCTTCTTTTTATTGTAATCAGGTAGTTCCATTGGTCTTCAAATTGCTTTTTGAACATCTGTTATATCTCAAGAACTGGCACTTGGTAGTGTCTGATATAGAACTGGTGTTTGGTCTATTAGATATAGGTGAGATATTAATATAATCATGGAAACAATCCATAGTATGTTTGTGTCATTTATTCTTCAACACATCCTATTTGTGAATCTTCTCTGTATAAGACTATCTTTCACTCACTCCAATGAAAGGAATCTTTTTTCTTTGCTTTTCAGTTGGAGAGAAGTGAGGAAATACAGCTGCAATGAAATTAGAATGGAGAAAACACACAAAGAAGAGAAAGATGCTGCATCATGAAGCTGGGAGTCACAGTCATTTCGGTGCAGTTAAAGGCAGATTCTTATCTGACCAGAGAAAAGAGTTAAATTTGTATTTCTGACTTTTTTCTCTGTTCCTTCTTGCCTTTCTTTGTTTCAAAAACAGAATGGTTTGATCTTTAAACTTTTAGCCTTTGTTGCATTCAAGGCAATAACACTCAAATAGAAAGTCAGACTCAGTGTCCCTACTTCTCATTTGTTTTTAACTCACACTCTGATGAATCCCCTCAGTTGGAAAGTAGCTTGCTTCCCTGTAGCTCTGCAGTTTCTGCGTGGCCTGGCGGGTCTTGCTGTGTAAAATGCCTCCTGTAATAGAGCACTTTATCCACCAGTGAAAAAACAGTACTGCAGAAAGCCTCTGCCTATGCATAATTCAGCAGGATCACCTGGGACAGGCAGGCACAGTTTGGAGGACAATGTCATGTGTGCTTCGAGTTCCCCACCTAATGGGTGTCTCATGACAGTCGAGAAAGAGAACAACATCTGCTTCACTCCTGGATCAATATCTCTCTGCACTGGGGTCACAATTACTACTGAGGAGGCCTGGCAAAGACAAGCATGCCCAGGGAGTGGTCTGCAGAGTATCTGTGGCAGGAAGGAGGACAAGAGCCAGGCAAATATCCTTGGAAGTACTGGAAAGAGGTCCTGAAACTCTGCCCACCACACTGAAGAGGACAAGGTCAGGAAATCCTGGCGACAAGCTCTGCTAAACATGTACTGAACATTTTTCACCACTGCGTGGGAGGCAGGATCTGCATGGTGCAGTTGTGTCCCATAGACCTGAGGACACTTTTTAATTAAAAAAAACAAACTTTAGAGTAAGTTTTCCACTGGCCTGATCAAGAGAAAACCAAGGACAGATAACTGGCTAGAGAAGAGATCCCAGAAGGAGAAACATTGCAGAGGCCTCTTTGCAAACCCTGCTCTGATGACACCCCCTCAAAAAGTGCAAGGGCAAAGGAAAAGGTAAGTTCAAGTTAAGGAGGGAAGGTCCTTGAAGGCCTGCCAGCTAGCTCCTGGGAGCTTTCCCTCATACATCACCATCCTAATGCTGTTGCAGAACATTAGGGCAGGCTCAGTGTGGCCTCATCTCTGCTGGCGAGAGACCCCCTAGTCCACCCACCCTTGGCAGGAAGGGGAGCACCGAGGTCCCAGAGTGTATTGACAGAACGGTAGGTTCACTAGGGCAGATTCACAGCAAAGCAACCGATGGAGAAGCTTCAGTGTCTTTGAAACAGAATTTAATGGCAGAAAAAAATAGAATGAAGCTGTCTTGCACCATGGTCTATATACCCAGGTGGGCTGACCCAGAAGCAGTGTGGTGGTATCATTCTGTCCCACTGTCAAGTGGCCCAAATAAACAGATCAGAAAGCCAAACTCTGTCTTGGACTCCAAGCATAAAAACAAAGTCAATTTAAAGAATGTCATTGCCCATAATTATATCCCATAACTAAATGCCCATAATTATTGTACCTATGCAATGCACAAGATTTTACAGGTACTTATTGTGCAAACAATATTGTAAAACAATGGAAAACAATTCTCCCACCTTAAAAAAAAGTTCATGTGAGGTTTCAGGAGAAAGGACTTTTAAAATGATATGGTTCTTTACTCTAGGCACTAAATCTGATGTTGAAAGCCTGTGTGTAAAATAGCCTTATGCAAACTAAGTCTTAAAATGCACCAGGCACTGCTTTAAGTATTTCATTGCATTTGTTTACTTAGTCTTCAGAAGCCCTGGAGGCAGACATTGTTAATTTCCAATTTGCAGGTAGAAAACTGTGACACAGAAAGGTTGAATAATCTGCATATGGTTGCACTGCTGAGTGGGGACTGGGCACCCGGGTTTGTGAACCCATGCTTCTAACAATAGGCTACACTACCTCCCAATGGGCTGAGAGGGGAAGGGTGTCCCTGGCAAAACTTGCCTCCAAAACATTAAGATGCATTAGCACATGTAGTCACACTTCATGTAAACCATATCCCATCCTTAAAGTGTCTAATTAAAAGACACGTTTATTTCCTAACAGATCAGCATGAAGCTCAGACACAGAGCTAGACATGTAGAAACACCTTCCTCATGAAGGGTGGTCACATCTATCCTCCTTCTTTTCTTGATGAACCTCAAGTAAATTTGGCCAGCAGTATAACCAGTTAAAAATACTTCCCTATAGAGAATCTTACAAAAAAACCCGAGCTAATTCATACTTAATGATAAATCAGCTAAGGTCTTTCACTCTCAGAAGAGGAAGATGAGGGTGTCTGTTGTTATCACTTTTCTCGACACTTTGCTAGAGGTTCTAGCCATAGCCATAGAGCACACACACAAAAATTAAAGGAATAAGTAAAACTGGTCTCATTCAAAAAAACATAATTGTATGGCAGAAAATTTTAAGGGTTATATAATAAAGTTATTAGACCTAATAAATGAATTAAGCAAAGTTATAAGATTGATATTTCAAATCAGCTGTATTTCTATATTACAACAATGAAGAGTTGGAATCATGAAATAAAAATATCATTACCATAACATCAAAAAAATGAAATACTTATGGTGCATTTCATAGAATACACATACAATCTACACATGCAAATAAAAATAATGCAGATTGAAATTTAAAAGGACCTCTTAAATAAAAGGAGGTGTATGTTTATAGGACAGAAAACTTGAATTGCTACAATGTCACTTCTTACATTGATTAGCACTATATTCAGTGCACAAGCTAATCAAAATCATAGTGGACTGCCTTCTTTGGTGGAAATTTACAAGCTGATTATAAAATTTGTATGAGAATACAGCGGGCTCTGAATAATCAAAACAATTTTGACAGAAAAAGTTGGAAGATTTGTATAACCTGATTTTCAAGACCTTTTTCAAGCTGTAAAAGACATGATGGTTTGGTACTGGAATAAGGATAGAAATACAGATGAGTGGTACAAGTAGAAAGATCCAGAAATAGAGCCACAAGTGTACAGTCGATTGATTTTATACAAAGGTGCCAAGGTAACTGGAAAAAAAATAGTCTTTTCAACAAATGTCACTAGAAAAACTTAGCAGCCACATACAAAAATAAATAAACTTCAACCTTTATTTCATACCATATACAAAAAGCAATGCAAAAAGCAATGCAAAGTGATTCAAAGATCCAAATGTGAGAGCTAAATATATAAAACTTCTATAAGAAACTATAGGGGAAAATCTTAGTCACCTTGGGTTGAGGCAAAGTTTTGTGAGATAAGACATAAAAAGTTTGAATTTCATCAAAACTGTAACTATTCTCTTTGAATGTACTATTAAGAAAAGGTAAATAATGGATTAGGAGAAAGTATTTACAAATCACTTATATAATAAAGAACTATACAGAATTTATAAAAACTTAGTATCAAGGAAACAAAATTCAGCTAAACAAATGGGCAAAAAATTTGAACAGCTATTTCATGAAAAAAGATAAATGGAAAATAAATGCATGAAAAGGATTTGAGAAATACAAATTAAGACCACAATGACACCCACTAGCACGCCTAAGGTGAGCAAGACTGACTACTGAGTATTGGTGAGAACGTGGAGCAACTAAAATGCTGATGGGAATGCAAAATGTCACAGCCATAACTTTGGAAACAGTTTGACAGTTTCTTATGAACAGAAACACATATCTACCTTAGAGCTCAGCCATTACACTCCCAGGTATTCACAAGAAGATAAATAAAAGCACATGTTCACATACAGACTTTGAGGAAAATGTTCATAGAGGTTATATTAATATTAGATAAACAGGAACCAATCAAAGTATCCAGTGATGGGTTAATAGGTAAGCAAATGATATATACCCACACATCCACACCAAGGAGTACCACTCCACAATGAAAAAGGCATCAACTGCTGACACACAAACACAACTTCAAGGGACCTCAGGAGCACTTTCAGTGACAGAAGCCAGATACAAAATAGTATGTGCTATGTTATTCTATTTATACTAAGTTATAGAAAAGGCAAATATATAGCAAAAAATGTATCAGACTTTTTCAGGAATTAGTTCAGGGGAAGGGATGTGCCAAGTGGAACCTTTTGGGGTGATGGAAATGTTGTGTATCTAGAATGCCATTGAGGTTATAGTGCCGTAAACATTTGTCAAAACCCATGGATTATACACTCAAAATTGGTGAATATGCCTACTGCTAGAACTGGACACATAACCTCCATGACCA